GATGTCTGTGCTATAGGCTCCCCTCTGAGGCAGGTTGTGTGTGTGTGGGGGGGGGGGTGCCATGGACCACTTTGGCAATCTAGTGAAAGCTATGAACCCCCATCTCTGAAATATAGTTATCTATCTATCTATCTGTCTGTCTGTCTATATATCTATACATTTAAGTTTATAAATCCCAGTTTAAGAATCCTTGTTCTCAGAGGACATGTTGCTGTGAAGGTGTGAATCTGAGCTGATAAAGTTTGCTCATCTTCAAGTCCCCTATACCAATGAAATAACAAGTAGTCACTATTCTTATTCTTTAAGGTTTATAAATTGCTATCTTCAAAACAAATCAGCCTGTATAGTGAAAGTTTTATTGTGCCCGTTTCACAGATGAAGAAACAAAGGATCAGTGTAGTTAAATTCTTTGCCCAAGGTTACACAGCTAACAAGAATCAGGGCCAGGGATTAACCACAGGTCTTGTGAGTTCATGTTCCAGGACTCATCCTGCTGTATTATGCTGTCTCCTTAGTCCCTAGAACAGGGGTGGGGAACCTGCAGCCTTGAGGCCACATGTGGCCTCCTAGGTCCCTAAGTGCGGCCCTTTGACTGAATCCAAGCCATGAAGTTTGGATTCAGTCAAAGGGCTACACTTGGGGAACTAGGGGGCCACATGTGGCCTCAAGGCCGCAGGTTCCCCACCCCTGTCCTAAGAAAACTGTTCTATGTCTATTGTAATAACCAAAAGATCAAAAAGAACTTCATGAAGTCATCTAGATGCCCTCTTGGCCAAATAAAAATTATACTGGCTTTCTGGCAACCCTCCTTACATACAAATCTTCACAATCAAAAAGGTCTGCCGTAGAACTTTCTGAGATCTGCTTCTCTCATTACAGAGTTAGATGTGTTTTAAAGCTGGGTGAGTAATCCATGTGTACATGCCAACCAAGTATGGAGTGGTTAGTAATGAAAATGTGATGTTGATGTGAGATGATATTATTAGAAACCTGTTAAGTGGGTTCCCGGTGTGTGCTTTTAATGTGTATCCCTTCAAGAAAACTACTCCATGTGCAGTGTCTCATTTTGTGCAGTCAATACAATCCTGATAAGACCTATCACAGCATTTATGGTGCTGGAAAAAAATTAAACATTTAGGGGACTCCTCCAACGCCACACTGATTAAGCTCAAACGAGGCTGCTAAATTGACAGATGTGTTTGTCGGTTCTTGCTAGCTAGTAACTCTTCCTTGCTGACAGTATTACAAATTCCTTAACTGCAAGGAGAAAAAAAAATCAGGTAATCTTTTTTTATCTTCTTATTGTCTTTCTCAATAGGGAGTCTCCTTGTGCATGTATGCACATGAAACATGTGTGTGTGTGTGTGTGTGTGTGTGCGTGTGTGTGTATGGATTGGAAGATGAGTGACAAGAGATGTATCTGTTTAAGGTATGTGTGGCAAGGGAAGGGTGCGGCAGAAGAGGCAAATTGTAGTTCAACTCATCATGGGCGCCGTGAGAGCCTGAAGCTTTCCAACGCTGACCCTCTTTCCCCTTCCATTCTTTTAATTGAGCCAGCCATGCCAACTCCTGAAATGCAAGAACAATCTTGTCAGCGGGGGAAGGCACCTTTCACCTCCAAGCAAAATGCAGCACAACTTTCAACCGATTAATAAAACTCTTAAAAGGATAATATTGTTGGGCGAAGTGCTAAGGTTTCCTGCTCTTGCTTGGGTTATGTTTTTATTAAGCCGTAAGCCATGATCTAAAAAGAGAGAGAGAGAAAGAGAGAGAGAGAGAGAGAGAGAGAGAGAGAGAGAGAGAGAGAGAGAGAGAGAGAGAGAGAGAGAGAGGAAGGGAGAAGGAGGGAGAGACTTTTATAGCCTGCAGCCTCTTGTTTGCAGATTATTTTCCAAGGATGCTCAGTAGAATATCAATTGCCTGTGATTAGAAGTCCCGCCAGGTACTGCCTTGAACAGAAGAGGCTTTAGAAGTGAGAACAGGCCCTCGATGAAGCTGCACAGTTCGGTTTGGGTACCAAATTCAGCTCATCTAAAATTCCATACTCAGCCCTTTCCCCTCAGAGTGGGCAGAACTGGGCATGGTAAAGTGGGGAGGGGTATGTTGGGAACTTGGGAAAGTTTTGGAGAAAAAGCAGATAAAATCAAGGAATTGTAAGAAACACTGGTAAGGTTTTGCTGGTGGTGATGTGGAATCATTATTACTTAAAGAATCATCCAATATTGGAGCTGGGAGGGACCTTACATTAAAGATTATCAAGTCAAACTCCCCATTTTTCATTTAAGAGATAATAAAAATGAGATTCAGACAGGTTAAATGATTTGACTGACCTTCGTTCTTTTCCTCCTATATTCCATTCATTCTCTCAACTTCATGCCTTTGTCCTGGCTATCACCCATGCTTGGAAAGCAATCCCTCCTCATCTCTGCCTTTCCAAATCCTTAGCTTTTCTTAAGGCTTAACTGAAGCACCACCTTCTCTATGAAAACTTTCCTCATCTGCCCAGCTGCTAGAGCCCTCCCTATTGAAATGACCTTGTTTTAAATTTTGCATATACTTCTGCATGACCGTGAGATCTCATACACAAAATGTTAAGTTGCTTCCTTTTGTCTTTGGATCTCAGTACTTAGCACAGTGCGGGTAGCACAAAGTAGGTACTGAATAAATGCTTACTGGTTTATTGGTTGAATAAGTTGGAAGGTAAATTATTAAGGCCATGGATGTGTGTACCATATTAGAGGTCAGGGAATTTTTGCCTACGGCATCATAAAATATTAAAGCTCGAAGTTACTGTAAGTTAAAGATCCCCTAGTCTAATTCTCATCATTTTCATTTAATAATAACGAAAAGGAGGCCCAGTAAGATTAAAGATTTTAATAAAAATGCTTCAGAACCACAGCTTGAACCCAGGTCTTCTGAATCCAAGTTCAGGGTTCTTTTTCCTCCATGGTGCTACCTACTTTTTATTCTAGTGGTAGTGGTGCGTGAGGTGTGGAGGCCTACTGAAGGATAGGAAGAGGGGGCCCAGGACTAGTGAGTCCTGCAGAAAGATTCTTTGGGAGCAGTGCCTGAGAGAAGTATGTGTAACACTTCTAACAAGAAGCCTGTGCTATTAATCCTTTAATTTCATGAGTAATAAAATTTACCCCAAACATTAAAAACAGTTTTAATTTTTTAGAAATGATGATAAGTTATAAGTCGAAATGAGTGCACTGTGGCAGCTCAGCTCTGTATGAGCTCAGGTGATGAATGAGCATGCCCTAAAGCACACTAACCAAGCGGTTCATTGGGCTTGCCTCTCTGTATGGGCATGGAGCTGGAAGATGAAGTACGTACAGGCCGCTTTGGGAGAAATGGGCACTCTCCGAGGGGCCCTAATTCCTGTGCTCAGCTGCTTAGGATTGCTAGGAAAGAATAAGGTGAGATGATCAGGAACATTGTTGTTGTTGTTCAGTCATTTTCCAGTCATGTCCAATTTTTTGTGACTCCATTTGGGATTTTCTTGATAAAAGTGACATAGTGGTTTGGCGTTTCCTGCTGTAGTTCATTTTACAGATGAGGAAACTGAGGCAAATAGGGTTAAGTGACTTGCCCAGGGTCATACAGCTAGTAAGTATCTGAGGTCAGATTTGAACTCAGGAAAATGAGTCTTCCTGACTCAAGGTCCAGCACTCTATCCACAATGCTCCCTAGCTGCCCAAATCAGGAACATAAGGACTCAAAACTGATGACATTATGACTAGAAACTGATAGGGTTGTTCCTATAAGTAGCCAGGTGGGAGATTCTCAATACTAAACTGACATCAGTGCTTTTAATTTACACTGCACCTCTGAATACCTTATTTTAGCCTTTCCACCACACTATAATGTTAGACAAATTATTCCTATTCCACAAGACAAGGAAACTGAAGCTCAGAAGGATGAAATTATTTATCCAAGGTCATACAGCTTATACAGCATAAAATCAGGATTCAAACAGAGGTCTTCTAAATCTAAGCACACCATACACTTCTAACCATAAATAGAGGTAAAAGTATGTTCTAGACATAATGCATAAATTTGACATAAATCACACAGGAGGGCCAGTCAGCACCTGCTCCTAAATTGTGAAATCATTCCTATAGGAAATTATGGAACTCTGCTGGTCAAGACGTGCAAATCTTACTTACTATAATTAGGTGGCAGGTAGAAAGATTCATGGATTGCCAATTTTACTACCATCTGTAAGAATGTTTCTAAAAGGGAAGTAATCATTTTTCTTTCTTTTCTTTTCTTATTTATTTATTTATTTATCTATTCATCCATTCATTCATTTATTTATTTATTTGTTTGTTCGTTCATTCATTCATTCATTCATTCATTCATTCATTCATTTATTTACTTATTTATCTATCTATTTATCTATCTATCCATCTATTCATTCATTCATTTATTTATTTATTTACTTATTTACTCATTATTTATTTATTTATTTATTCATTTATTTATTTATTTATTTATTTATTTATTTATATTCGTTTATTCATTCATTTATTTATTTATTTAAGTTATACTCCCATACTGGGCAAACTGGCAGCATCTATACTTATGGCTGGGATCGCTGAATACTAAAACAACATTTACTATAATAAACAGATTTCTTCAGAGAAAATCAATTTTTCATATTGGCAGGGGGAAAGTATGCCCAACTAATTCATCAAGGCTCCTTGAGGTGGTTAGCAAACATATTAGCAAATGGAAACCATTGCTTATAACTTGATCAAACTAAAAGAATGTTTGGAAAATTTTCACACTAAAAACAATTTTTAAAATAAAGTTATCACAAGTTTGAGGGAAATGGTTCTCATAGTCAGGGAACTGGCTTTCAGACAGAGGATGAGAAAGGACAAATGTGCTCATCAAAGAGAAATATCTGAGTTTGCAGATAATACTATATATATATATATATATATATGTAGCATATTATAGGTTTCAGAGTATTTTTGCAAATATTCTCTCAGATATCATGAGGCTTCTTGGGGCAGTGAAAAACCAGAGGGAAGTGTGCAAACTATATGAAGATGTCAGTAAACTCTGCGAGAGTAGACAGAGATGTGGTACATCAGATTAAATGCAGGTAAGTGCAATATGATGCAAATGAGAATAGTGACCCAAATTTTGAAAGCTTAAGCACTATACAAATAGTGATGTTAACTAATATCAGATTTCTTTAGTGTCTTGAATAGTGTCAGTATCCAATATATATTGAATTGATTGTTTTTAAATTTGAATTTTTTCCTTAGTACACACACACACACACACACACACACACACACACACACACACACACAAATTTTCTCTCATCTAATCCCACACTTCCCCCTTGGTGGGGGTTGGAGGGAGGGGGAGGGAAATGGAAAAACAAAGCCATTGTAACAAATATGTAGAGTCAAGAAAATAAAATTTCTGCATTGGTCGTGTCCAAAAATATAATCTCATTCTGCACCCTGAGCCTATCACCTCTGAGTGGGGAGGTGGGTAGCTGGAATCATGGTCAGTCATTGTGTGGGTAAGATTTCTAAAGTCTTTGAATTAGTTTGTCCATGTGATATTGTTCTTATTACATGCATTGTTCTCTTGATTCTGATCATTTTACTCTGTATAAATGTGTTCATCTTCCCAGATATCCCTGAAACCATTCTCTCTTTATCTCTCATAGCAAAATATTACTCCATTACATTAATATGCCATCCTCTGTTCAGCCATTCCCCAATCTGTGGGTATGTACTCGTCTTGTTTCTAGTTCCTTGCAACTGCAAAGATTTTCTCATATATGAGTCCTTTTCCTTATTATTTGACCCCTATGGAGTATAAGCCTAGTAGTGGTGTCTCTGTGTTAAAATCTATATATAATTTAATAATTTGGGGCACAGTTCCAAACTGCTTTCCAGAATGTCTAGACCAATTCACAGCTCCACCAGCAGTGCATTAATGTGTCTGTTTTCCTGCAGCCCCTCCAACATTTATCATTTTCTCTTTTCATAAATTTTGTTAATCTGAGGGGGCATGAGGTGGAATATCAGAGGTATTTTAATTTACATTTTTTTCATTACTAGTGATTTAGGGGCACTTTTAATATGCCTACTGGACCTTGGATTTCTTTCTTCAAAAACTATCTGTTCATATCCTTGGACCATTGAAATTGTTCATTTTCTTCATACAGGCAGGGGCCTGGTGCCTCATCCCAAATCCTAGCAAGGATTCAGCATTGCTTCACCTACCTCTATAACCAGGCTGAAAAAGAGTTTTGGAAACAACAACATCAAAACCATTATCCTTCCCTTGTATAAAAGCCTGGTATATGAGCATCTGGGTTGTTTTCATTTAATAGCCTGAAATGAAAAATGGCAATCTCTGAACTGTTAGCCAGGGTTTACCTTTTCACTTATCTTGGATAACTTTTGTCTTACACAAGCATTGGCTTTCCAAAAAAAGGACTAGGGAATAGATTTCTCTTACGGACACCAAGGCTCATTAAGAATCACCTGGCCCTGTCCATGTCTCCAGTGGACCTAGTCTCTCACCATTCCCATTGGAGCACAATACGCTCAGAGTCCCTTGACAGGTCCCCATCACATTTGGAAGTAGCCCAGGGTGAGGACATCTTGGGGCATGAACTATAAAAAGTTGAGCTCAGTTATAAATGCATCAAGTCATGTTCAATATTTCCTTGGCATGTGTTTAACATGATTAATAGACTCTTAAAGATATTTCCTTTTTTTATGTCCTCTTTTGCTAAGGCTTCTTGTTTCCTTCCCTCAGGCTTAGGCTGAGCTCTCTTCTCTCAGATTCCTTGGCATCAGAAGAAACCAAGTCCCAAGATCTGTGCTGCAGATCTGCTTATTCTCAGGTGGAAAATTCTCTCTTTATAGCAACTGGAACCGACTCAACCTCTATTCATTAAACTGTGATTTTAGGCTGCATTAAGAGAGGTGTAGTGTCCAAAATCAGGGAAATAATAGCTCTTCTGCACTCTGTCCTGTGGTTGGATCACATCTCAAATTTTGTGTTGAGCTTGGTGGCTATGTTTTGAAATCACAGTGATAAAGTAGACTTTGTTTAGAGGAGAACAGCTAGGATAGTGAGAATACTAGGAATAATGCTACACAAGAATGAACTTGAAGGCATTAGGGATGTCTATGCTGCCAAAAGGGGCAGCTAAATGACACAGTGCTTAGAGCACTGGTCCTGGAGTCAGAAAGACTCATCTTCCTGAGTTCAAATCTGAACTCAGACACTTACTGTGTGACCCTAGGCAAGTCACTTAACTCTGTTTGCCTCAGTTTCCTCATCTATAAAATGAACTGGAGAAGGAAATGGCAAACCACTCTACTTCTTTGCCAAGAAAACCCCAAATGGGGTCACAAAGAGTCAGACACAACTGAAACAACTAAACCATAACAAGAAGCCTGGCAAAAGAAGACCTTTGAGGCCCGCAGTGATGTCTTCAAGTCTTTGAAGAGGTCATGGGACATAGAATTGAAAGGAGTCTTGGAGATAATTCTTTCTAATCCTTTCATTTGATAATTGAGAATGCTGAGGCCTGCAGAGGCTAAGTGAATAGAACGATGTCATACAGAATGCTTCTGATCCATGGGAGCCTTGGATATGCTTTGTATATGTCTGTACATGTCGCCTCCTCCACTTTAGAAGGAAATGGCAGGGATCGTTTCAAGTTCGCCTCTGTACCACCAGTGTTTAGCACTGCCTGGCACATAGTGAGTGCTTCATAAATTTCTGGTTGATTGATTATTGCTTGGTGGGTGGTGTCAGAACCAGAATTGGAATGCAAGTCCTCTGATTCAAAATGCAATAGGCTTACAACTATACTATACTACTTCTTCACATTATGGTATCAGAAAAGGATTAGGTTGGTTCTACTTATCCCCAGAGGGCAGGGGAATAAAAAGAGTAATGCAAGGAAGTTATGGCAAGGCAGATTTAGGTTCAATGTAAGGGGGAGATTTAAAACAAATAGAGATGTCCAAAAATGAAATGGAAAGTCTAGAGACCTTCTAGAAGAGGTATTTTAGAGCAAAAGTGTCCCATAACACTCCTGAGTGCAACCCAAACCAGATTTAAAAATTGGAGAAATATTCAGCATAACAAAAGTATAATTTCATTGTTCTTTTTCAATCATGTCCAACTCTTCGTGACCCCTTTTGGGGTTTTCTTGCCAAAGACACTGGAGTAGATTGCCATTTCCTTTTCCAGCCCATTTTACAGATGAGGAAAGTGAGGCAGACAGGGTTAAATGACTTGCCCAAAGTTGCACAGCTAGTAAGTGCCTGGGTCCAGATTTAAACTTAGGAAAATGAATCTTCTTAACTCCAGGACTGGTGCTTTGTACACTATGGTGCCACCTAGGTGCCTAGAAGGAAGATAATGTTCATATATGGTTTTCTAAGTCATTATATGGCCCCTAGGGATATTTTTGTACTATTCGATGCCCGTGTTTCTATTTGAGTATGACATCACTGTTTTAGTGTGTATTGCTGCCCAGGTACTGATTGAATTAGACATACCTCTGAGGTTCCAACATACTGGGATTCTATGTGTTCTGTGTTCTAAGTTCTGCCTGCTGAATATTTCTGGCTACCTTTTCCCTTCTCTGGATTCCAGGCACATAAAATCTTCCCCAAATACCCCAGACCTGAGCCTGAGCCTCACATTTTGATCAATACATTCTCACTGTTTCTTAGTTCATTCTTTTCTTCTCCACTTCATCCTTTCTTGTACTGCTTATTTTCTCATTTCTATTGCTTACTATTTGACTTTCTAGTCATTTTACCTCTTCTCTTTACTCCCTCTGCATCCTCCTCCACCCCTTTGTTTTCTTCACAATTACATTGCTCAGGGTAATGGTGCATCAATTCTTCACTGCGCATAACTAGTCTGAGTGGTGCATCTATTGGCCCTCTTCTCAGGGGCCATTGTTTCTTTTCAAATTAATTAAATGTTGAAAGAGTGTGGCTCTACGAAATCAGATAGTTGCTGAAAAATCACAATGACTAAGCTGGGCCCCAAAGAAGAAATATAAGAAGGTATGTCCCTCTGCTTTTCAATTGAGGGACTATGGGTATGGATCGCTGTGTATGATGTCAGACTTTTTCAATGTATTATTTAGTTTTGAAGAAATGTAACCCCCTAACTCCCATCTTTTTACTCAATTATAAAAAATGGCTTTCTGGAAGAAGGTAGAGGAGGAAGAAATTCATTAATAAATGTGGGATATGTGAAAACAAAAGGTATCAATTAAGATGTATTTAAATAAAAAAGAACATGAAAATGAGCTAATTAGGAACTGAAACATTGGTTACCTAGGGGACTGACTTGTTTTGAAGGGCCTCCTCCAGGTCTAAGGTAATTAAAAAGTATAAAGGACATTTCCTAGTGAGTAAAAATGACATTAAAAATGCATGATTTGACACTCTGGAGTCCAAAAAGTTTGAATATCCCAAAGTCTACCATGGCTTTTGGAAAAGGGGCATTTTTATATCATAGCTCACAGAATCATAGCTCAAGAAATAACAATGGATCTGGAGAATGTACAGAGAAATGTCCCTAGAATGATTAAGTGCATGGAAGTAGGGCCTAAAAAGGTCAGGACTCTTCAGTGTGAAAAGATGAAGGCCAAGAGTAGTTGTGATCGAAGTCAATTAAATCATGAAGGGTGCAAAGAAAAAAACAGGCTTGTTCACCAAATCCCAAAATGCCAGAAATAGGAAGCACCACTTGAATCTTGAACGAAGTAAATTTAAGACAAATAAAAAGAAGAAATACTATTCCAGTGAGTGGGTAGTAAATGAAAATTCCCTCCCTTCCCCAACAGCATAAGGAATGAAATTACAAAGAAGTCAAGATAAGTTTAGATGAATTAATGTGTGAGAGATCCCTAATGATGCACAGTCTGGGGTAGTGGTTAGAGTGGTGCCTTGGAGTCAGAAGTTCTGGGTTTAAATTCTGCCTCACACAATTATTAGCTGTGTGACCCTGGGGAAGTTAATTAACCTCTCTGGATCTCAGTTTCCTCACCTGCAAAATGAAGAGGTTGGACTCAGTGATCCCTAAAGTCTCATCTGGAGATCTATGATAAGGAAAAGTAGGACGCTGGAGGTACACAATCTTGTTGCATTGATATGAAAGAATACAACAAACCTTCCTACAAAATGTTCTAAATGTCCAATGAAAATGAACACATCCTTTTAAGAAACAAACCAAGTGTCACTTCCTCTGGAAACCATCTTCCCTGACCTACCTTTCCCACAGGAAATTACCTTTCCGACATTTATCTCACATAGCTCTCTTCTTAGACATTTTTAGGTATACATACAATGAATACTCACTTAAAACTCCCTGCAATAATCGAGATGTTCTTTACACAATATACACTTAATGAATATTTGCTGACTGGTAGAATAAATAAGTGCCAATATCTGAATAATAATAACTGATATTCATAAGTACTTCAAAGTTCACAAAACACTTCAAATATATTAACTCATTTGAGCCTCATGAAAATTCGGTAAGATCTGGACTACAATTGTTATCCCATTTCACAGATAGGGAGACTGAGACTTAGAGAGCCTAAGCAACTGGCCCACAATCACACAACTAGTAAGTGTCAGAGGTAGGATTTGAACTCAGGTTTTCCTGACTTGAAGTTAAGCATTCTAGCCACCAAACTGCCTCACAATCTTGCATAAGGCCTTACTGCTATTGACAGTGTAGATAAATAGGTACCTGGCCCTACATACTGAGACTGAATGGTATATGTGTGTGGACAGAGACATATAAGTGTGTGTGTGTATATGTGTGTATGCATGGGTTTATATATATATATATATATATATATATATATATATATATATATATATATATATATATTTATTTATTTATATGTACTATATAATTTATATATATATGTAATTTAGTGTGTATATATGTGTGTGTGTGTGTGTGTGTATGTATTTATATTATATTTCATGTTCAGAGAAGACACTCCTGACAGATTGTAAGCTCCTTAAGGGACTGTCTTTCTTTTCTATATTTATCTCCAGCACTAAGCACCATGCCTGTTACATAGTAGAAGCTTCATACATGTTTTTTGATTAACTGATTGACAGGGTTTCTTGGAACATGGAAACACAGAAAAGATGCTTATGACCATTTCCAGTTGGTTTTCCAAAGATTATGTCCCCTTTTGCCCTCTGTGTCACTTAACACATTCCCTAAAACGAGTTTCGTTCTCTTGGAAGTTCTTGCCCCTTATCCCCAAATCCTCCCACCTCCATCCAAAGCCCCCTATGCATCTATGTTGATGATGCTTTCTCTCCTCCGCTCCTTCCCTTGAATTCCTTTACCTTTCTCTGTTTTTTGATCTACCTCATGACAAATTTCAGCTGCCACTAATGTTCATGTAGAGCATGTTTCTCTTTCCCTTTGGATGAGTGTGTGCATTCAATGAAAGACTTTTCAGAGACGATTCTCTGAATAGAAATGCACATGAGACAAACAAACCGAACAGCCCAGCCATCCCTACCAAAGCCTCGGAAAGTTTAAAAAGCCTAAGTCGCCTTAGAAATGAAGCTATTAAGGTGTGACATGATTCTTGCTTTCAGGCAAAGGCTTTTTTCAACAGCAGCGGAGCCCAATCAAGAGAAGATGAAAACTTCAGTGTTTCAAGATACCTAACTCTTCTGCTGATGAAGGTGAACATGGCCCAGACACAGTTGGAATGAGAATAAAGGCTGCTGAGCAAACTACCTGGCTTAATGGGAGTCAAAGCCTTAACACCATCACCTTCTGCTCATTTTCTTTTAATTTCCCCAAAGCCTTGACATCCCTGGGGGAAGTGGAGGGGGTACTGATAGTAAAGTCCTCAAGCAGAGCTGGAAAAATATGTGTCTGCAGCCTCTGTACTTATTCTCTTTCTTCCTCATAGGGAATCTTGGAAACCAGAGAAGGGAACATGACAGTAGCAACAAGATATACCTTTGAAATCTGATAGCGTGTTCCAATAAATTGGTTGGAAACTCTGGCCATAGTCAATCATATTTGGGAAAAGAGGAAGAAATGAAAATAACCAGGTGTAACTGCCTCCTTCCCAACATGTGGTGGAAGAAGACATCTCCTTTCAGTCAGTGTGAACATTTGAACCTTGGAAATTGGCAGATGTGACACATCAGGGCTTGATTCAGTTTTTTTTTTTTTGCTGATTGTCTAGATTTAGAAAAATGGTGGAGAAAATTTTGATGATGTAGATTAAACTTAAAAGTGGTTCAGTGTTTATGGAGAGTTGGTTGTTAAACATTTACCACCATACCTAAGACCTACAGGAAAAAATAATCACAGCCTCGGATGAAAGGCAGTGTGGTAATGGGGAGAGAGGTACTTCAGATTTAGGAAGAACTGGCCTCAAGTCCAATCTCTGAACATATTTTGGCTCTCTGAACTAGGCCAAGTCATTTTTTACCCCTCAGTGTCCTAGTCAGGTCTCTAAGACCAAGTACAGATATGTACTGGCAGAAAGAGTCTCCTCACCTGGGAGTTTCTTAAACGATTGAAATCACAAATCCTCTCTCTATTCCTAAAAGGGACATTTGTTCCATTGTTTAAGCTGTGTCTGACTCTTTGTGACCCCATTTGGGGTTTTCTTTTTTTGTTTTGTTTTGTTTGTGTTAGGCAATGAGGTTAAGTGACTTGGCCAGGATCACACAGCTAATAAGTGTCAAGTGTCTGAGGTCCTCCTGACTCCAGGGCCCATGCTCTATCCACTGCGCCACCTAGCTGCCTCCCCATTTGGGGATTTCTTAGAGTGGTTTGTCATTGCCTTCTCCAGCTCATTTTACAGATGAGGAAACTGAGGCAAACAGGGTTAAGTGACTTGCCCAGAATCACATAGCTAATAAGTGTTTGAGGCCAGATTTGAACTCAGGAAGATGAGTCTTCCTGACTTCATGCTTAGCTTTCTATCCATTGTAGAGGGCTGTGTCCCCTCCCCACCAATAGATTTGGGTACAACCAATAGACAGTCATAATAATAACTAACAATGATGTGGGTAAATTAAAATTTATAAAACACATGTTATTTTAATCTTAGAATAAACTTTTGATGTAATAATCATCACCATCATCATATTAATAGCAAAGATTATACATAAATTTAAATTTCATAATGCACATTACACGTTCAGGGTGTCCTCAAAGTCTTATTTCAGTTCAAAGCTTATTATTAAAACTTAAGGCTACACAAACTCTGAGCTGCACTGAGACTTTTTCAACACTCTGTATTCCCTTATTTGATTCTATAGATACTACAGATACTATTATATCCATTTTACAGAACATGAGAGTGAGGCTTATAAAGATTAAGTGATTTGCCCATAGTCATATACCTAGTAAGTTTCAGAGTCAGGATTTAAACCTAGAACTTCCTGACTCCAAGTCTAACACATTATTGTTAACCAGAGTACAAGCAACAAATTATGTCAGCTCTGGGGGAACTTCGTCCTTGACACATTTGGGGCTTCCTGCACACTCCAGGTCCAATATTTCTGGAAAATATGGCAACTCAAAAAGATAAGTTCCAGGGAACCCTTAACATTATCCACATCCCTCCAGGTCATCTTTCCAGTTAAGTCAAATCAAGTTAACAAGCATTTATTAAGCATCTACTATGTGCCAAGAACTGGGGATACAAAAAAAGACAAAACTCCCCACCCTTAAGGATCCCACAATCTAATGGGAAGGGAGAGCATGCAATCCACAAACAGGATATGTTGAAGGTAAGCTTGGAGGGAAGTCACTAGAAGACTTGCATGATGCAAGTCAGTTGCTGCTACCAAGTGTCTACTTCCACCATGACCCCCACCTGTGATTTCCCAGGATTCCTGGTATGGTAGCAAGTATAGGCAATAGCAGCACCCCATCCTTTCCAGCTTTTGCTCAGGGAGGAACTTCCCATCAGTCGTAGTACCCTCCACACAAGAGAGATCTCAACACTTCAGGGAAATGAAACATCTTTTCTCTTCAAAAAGAGGTTAGGGCCCCCTCGACCGAAGAAGAGACAGAGAATGAAAACATGCCACTCATCCCCTCTCTACTGTCTTGGCAGCAGGAGAGGATTCACATGATGCTGAAGAAGGAGTTTACATTGCTTTGCTCCTAGAGTGCTGGAGTAGCGGCCATATGGAAGCGTTTGATTGTCCCCATGTCATCTCTCTTAGTAAAGTGCTGTCACAGAAGAACGGTGCCGACTTAGATGGTGGTGGGATTTTTTTTTTCTTCCTGGCATTGCAATTTTCTTCATGCTCTCTCCCCAGCACACAGGTGTAAAGGCTGAATAGAGATTTGCAGGCATGGGGAGTTAGTCTGCCAGAGCTTGAAGCTGGGAAAAGATTAGAAAGCAGCAAGACGTGTTGCAAAGAAAGCTGGAAAGTTGTTAAAGTCATGGGCTTGGGCCAGCCAATTGGCAGCAAATAAACTTTTAATGCTGACTTCATTGCTTGTAGTTTCAGGTGCTCTGTTCTGTGATAGCTGAAGAAAATTGAAGATGGAGAGTATGGGGAAATCTCACTTCATTTAGGGAAATAGACATGGTATAAAAAATAGCATCTTTCATTTGTATGTCATGCTTGGTTTTAAAGCAGTCTTTGTCTTCTCCGTATGCTTACAGTATCTCAGTGTGAAAAATAAGAATATGAATTATTATCTATCAGTCATGAATCAATCACCAAGCATTTAATAAAAGCTGGCCATGTGCAGAACACTATGCTAGGAAGTGGAAATAAAGGCAGGTGTAATGGCTAATAGCTATTATTTACCTAATACCATAAGGATTGAAAAGTGTTTTATATATATTATCTCTTTTGATCCTCACAACAACCTGTGCAGATAGGTCCATTATTATCCCGATTAAATAGATAAGAAAACATTTTGAGAGACCCTAAGGGATTGTCCTAAGGTCAAGCAACTGTGCCTTAGGCCAGAATTCAAAGTCAGATCTTTTTGAGTCCTTGCCACCTAACTGCCTAAATGTAGTGCTCCCTAAAATGAACCTGTTTGGATCTATCACATATTCACAAGTTCCAATTTTTCCTATTAAATTGCTTTCCACGACCAGGCTGAATAAATCACCCAGTATAGTAAGGCAAAAGGACACTTACTTAAAATAGACTTCCAGGTAAATGACAAGGAATTAAAATAAGCAGCAGGCTGCTGCATTACCCATTTCTCCAAACCTCCTACTCCCACACTTCCATTCCTTGAGGGTGGGGGAGTCTCCCCTATCTGTTGCCTGGGTTGACTTGTCAGCCTAGAGCTGTGAGCTAGGGGGAACACAAAGCACTATCTTTACCATCATAACAGCCCTGTCATTGGTCCTCTTTGGGAAGGAAGGACAAGTAATAACAACAGCAATAAAGTGCAAGACAGGGAGGGTCTCGAGCACAGGGCCATGTGCAGAACACTGTGCTAGGCAGTGGAAATAAAGACAGATGTAATGGCTAATAGCTACTGTTCACCTAATACCATAAGGTATTAGGTCAGTGTCAGAGGGAAGCTCTCTGTATTGACACTACTGATCTACCCTACCTGACCCATCAAACTAAAGAGATCTTAAGAGCACCCTTTCCTGCCTTTTACCTCTGCATGCTGGGCTCACCTTGCCACCTCCCCAGCATTTCAGGTTAAGGGCATTCATTGGGAGGCAGGAAAAGGGGAGCATTATAAAGAGTTCTTGTTTCCCATCACAACAATCAGGTAAACAGTACGTAAGGACTGAGTCCCGGACACCATTTCTTCTTAGCCGTTCTCTCACTACAACTCTATCACTTGCCTTTTGTTCACACTTTGCTCACAAAAAGTTCCTGCCTCCTTCCTTCTGAGATCTTCACAGGCAACAGGCCCATCTCCCAGTCATCTATGGGCCCTCAGAGAGGCCCTTTACAAAGTTTGCAGAAATAACTGCCCTCGGGGAGCTCACAATTGTGTGGGGAAGATTAAAAACAAAAAAGCAGCACACAGCTATAAGACACAATCTTATTTTAAAAATTCAACAAAGACTTTCAGAATAATATCCTATGTTAATTCTAAGGGTGAGGACTAAGAGAATTAGGATAGTTTGTTCCTAAAAGAAGTGGCATGCTGCGTAGATTTTAAAAGATGTTTAGGAATTCTGGTAGTGAAGAGAGGGAGAACATTGCAGAAGTAGACAAGAGAGGGAGCAAAAACTAGGGTCAATATAATCTATCTGGAGCCTAGACTAGATAAGAAGATGTTATGGGCTGAGGCCCACCGCCAGGTGTTTAATTCTGATATTATATTAGAAAAACAAAGAGACACTACTAGGTCATTCAGTTAACAAAAGGAGATTGACTTAGCCATAGCAAGAGGAAGGATGTTCAACAAGTATATAGAGCAAGGATATCATGTTATTCAATTGTCTATAGCTCCCCTTCATCTGATTTATCCACGTGGGTCTACTGGCCAAATATCAGTGAAGGGTAGGAACTGCTCGTGAGTTTTTATACTTAGGAAACCAGAAAGTAAAGTCAATGGCTCAGATTTAGTACCCTGAGTGACTTAGTCAGTCAGTCAATAAGAATTTATTAAGCATTTACTATGTGCCAGGCACTACGCTAACTGATAAGGATATAAAGAAAGACAAAAAAAAAAAACAACCCAACAACAACAACAAAAAACAGTCCCTGATCTCAAGGGATACAAATTCCAGTGGGGAGATACATAACTA